CATCAATAAATTGAATATTGATCTAGAAAACATAAATAACTGGTTAGCAAGTAACGAACCAGAATGTATGTTTATTGGAACTCACCAAAAATTGACAAAACTTAGAAATATTAGGATCTTAACATAAATATCAATGGTGAATGTTTACAGATTTGTAAACATTTAGGTGTTTTAATTGATGAAAATTTGTCATGGGATAAGCAAACTGACCATGTAAAAAGTAAGGCTTATATTACTTAGAGAGATCTCATGATTTACTCCAAAAAATGACGTACAAACCTTAGATCCACATTTTAATTACTGGCATATGGGGGAGAGCGAACAAAAAACTAAGCAAAAAATTGCAAGCATTCCAAAACAGAGCAGCAAAGATAATTTAGAAAAAGTCACGCTATGCTCTCCCAAGCCCTGTAAGACCCTACATGGATAATCCTTGATTCAAAACCATTTAATTAATGAAGCTACTTCTATGTACAAGATGTTTCATGGCAATGCACCTTGATACCTTACGGATAGATTCACATTAAGAGAACCACAGTAAAACACAAGATCAGCTAATGCTGAATACAAAAAAGTTTTGCCTACCGTGGTGCTATTTTATGGAATAATCTTAATGGCAATGTTAGAAATTCACCAAGCCTTGTAGTTTAATTTATCTTGAATGTACAATTTTAATCATTTTACTCACCTTATATATATATTTTATGATGATTTTTTTAGTATTTATATATAGTGTTTCTTTAACCTTCTGTTTTTGATATTTAATTAATACATTGTATTTGCATTTGTTTTTCTAGTTTTTATACTAATATCTACGGCCTAGCACAGCCTTGATAAAAACATCTTTGGGTGAATCAAGTGTTACCGTGTTGAAAAGAAGTACTTATTATATTATCATCATTATTACTGGCACGGTTCCCGGAGACTGGAAGTGTGTAAACACCGTACCCGTTTACAAATTTAATCCGGTGACAAGTCTACGATGTCTAACTATAGACCCGTTTCATTGTCATCGTCGATCTGTAAGATTTTGAAGAAACTTATTATTCACAATGTAAATTCATTTGTTAATGAGTATTGCCTTTTTAATCCTAACCAATACGGGTTCATCGAAGGTAAATCATGCGTGAGTCAGCTTAATACATTTTAAATGAGCTAAACTGCTTGACAAACGTGGCTCTACTGCTATTGTCGACACTGTATTTTTAGACATGAGTAAAGGCGTTTGATAAAATTCCATTCGATACCCTATTATGTAAACTTGATACGAGTTGTAATATTGAGAGATGAAAATAGATGTCATCATATCTCACTGATAGAAACAAAAGGTACGTTTTAAGGGTCTCACGTCTACTGCCCTTCCTGTCACTTCTGGAATTCCCCAGGGTAGTTGCCTTGGGCCGATTCTTCTTAAATTATTTATTAACGATGTTTCCCATAATGTTTTGTCTGATCACGCCTTGTTCGCTGATGACATAGCCATCTTCAGGCATAGACAAATTAGGAATGATATAACTATTAAGAACGATATGACACACTTGCTTCGTAGGCTCAAAGTAATAAAATGAATTTGTGCATAAATTAGAAAACATAACTTTACAAAACCAATATATTTAATGAATGGTAAGCAAATCGATGTCGTCGACACTCAAAATGTGTGTGCATCAACAATAATCTAAATTGGAAATGTCATGTTGATAATGTAATCAAACGTGTGAACAGAATGATTGGTTTAATTTTTTTTCAGTTGCTGATAATAGTTCGCCCGGTGCCATGTCTTATCTCTACGAATCCCTTGTTTACCGATTCTGGAATACGGCCTACCTGCAAGGAGTCCTCAGTGTCAAGGTCATGTAAATCGTCTTGAAAAAGTACAACAGAGAGTTTCCAGGAGAATTCTTTGGAGGCACTGTGGTCCCATCAATTACAATAAACGACTTACCACTCTCAACTGGCTTTCTCATAGAGATAGACGACTCATTACTTTGATTTCATTTATTTTTCATTGTTATAGCAAAGAGAATTTCAAAGAAAACACTTAAATCACCTTGTTAAAAGTAAAATGTTTAATTGTCAGTCTAATACGAATCATTGTACTTGCTGTCCTTTCATTTAAGCGTACCGGTATTTAATAAAGATATATACGTTTCATGACTACGTCAGAGTCTTTATAATAATTATTCTAGGTAGACTTTTCTATTATCCTAATACAGTGAATTTTATATAACAATTAATCAGATTTGTTTGTATTAGAAAGGCAAGTAAACAGCAATGCAGATGATAAGTTGCTTTGTTGCTATAGATACTTCTGTATAATTTCTTCGCTTTTCTAGGATGTTAGTTTTGTAAAATACACCTCTATGATACTCATACATAATATATATATATACTTTTAATGACGTTTTTGTTGCAATTTCAACCACTTCTTCTTATGGCAAAAAGCAAAAGCAAGTCTAGTTTGTGTTGCTTTTTTTTCTCCCACCTTTTTTTCCGTTTCAACCATTAATTCTGCTTATTTTTGTTACTTTTCTGTTGTCCTGGAAAGCGCATAGAGACGAATGTTATATGCGCTATACAAGTGCACAACTGACCATTGACCATTAAACAATTGCTTTCTCATATATTGTTTTCGCTATATACTTCTAATAATGGATTTGTGCCTTTAACACCAAAATTCTGCTATCAAGTTACTAATTACTTTATTACGTCATTTGTAACGCTTTTCAAATTATTTACTTCTGCTCTATCACAAAATGCACTTATGAGATGCACCAATTAATTTCCATGCTCATACCACTGGTAATAGAACATTGATTAATAATTTAAACAGGAAAAACAACTACCTAAGTAAGTGTACTAATAC